AACTTTGTAAAGCCTAAAGGTCAGTTTTATATTATTGGATATGGTAACATGAGTGCACATGCACTGCGTCATTGTAACTTCTGTATTGTTAGCCAGGCACGGTTGAAAGATCAATATAATAAAAATAATATATATGTATATATATATAATGTTATGACATTTAAGCTATTCATACTAAACATTTGTGTTTTTGAGTTATAATTTGTAGACATTGTAGAACGAAAAAAACAAAATTTATATTTATTTCCTAATTTTTTGTAGTGGTTATGAGATCAGTCCAATCTACCAAATCCGTACAGAGATTCGATAGTGAAAATAATAGATAAAATAGTTTTTTTTTAAATGTTGGATAACTATCCAGAGGCTATAAAGATTTCACATGTGAAATTTGAAAATTTTCTAATGTATAAAAGCATTTTTAATCTTAAAATGAAAATCACTTTGCATGTTGGATAGGCAATATGCGAAAAGAAAAAAGGCATGAGAAAAACATTACTTAAAAAAAAACATAAGACTTTATAAAAAGAAATTGATATTTTGTACCCGAAAGCCTTGTAATGTTTACTGAAAATATGCCAAATTTCGTGAACATTACACTTACTAATTTAAAAGTTGTAGCATGAAAACTATAACAATCACAAAATTGTTACAAGGTCAGTCCCAGGGACCTAGCTCGTGCTGAAAGAGTTAAGAAGCAAATAGTTAGATATGTTAATTGGTTGAAGGATATGGTTTAATAATCCAACATGTTTTTGTAAAGAAGAGAAGGAAAACAAAACTTCTACCTTACTTCACAATGTATTAGTACCTTAAAAAATGAAATATTATAGAGTGTATTTCTGCACATAAGTAATACATTAATTATAAGTTATTTCATGTTACTGTGAAGGCACAACACTTAAGAAATCCAGCACTTTTTGGAAGGTAGATTTTTATTTTTTGGAGATGGGCCCGGCATGGCCAGGTGGTTAAGGCACTCGACTCACAATCTGAGGGTCGCGGGTTCGAATCCCTGTCACACCAGACATGCTCGCCCTTTCAGCCGTGGGGGCGTTATAATGTGACGGTCAATCCCACTATTCGTTGGTAAAAGAGTAGCCCAAGAGTTGGCGGTGGGTGGTGATGACTAGCTGCCTTCCCTCTAGTCTTACAATGCTAAATTAGGGACGGCTAGGGCAGATAGCCCTCGTGTAGCTTTGCGCGAAATTCAAAAACAAACAATTTTTTGGAGATGACTTGAGAAGTAAAAAACCTCTTGTTATTGGGGTGTTTTTAATTGTAATATTGATATAAATTCAGAATTAAAGAAATGTTGTTTAATTACCTAGATCAAGAACTTATTCACCTAATGTTTCTGCATTATTCACATAATGCTTGTTTTTAAATGCCTATTAGAGAAAATTATAACTGGTAGTTATCCATTTATTGCAGATCATACATTCACCATAAAAATTCTCCTGTTTGTTTCAACATTCCTATTGGTGGTTTTTGTGCTTTTAGGACTTTTCTTTTTAAGGAAACACCTGTTACAACCAACAAAACGTAAGTGATTTCAAGAAATTCAGTTAAATTATAGAATATATATAGTAAGTGACCTTTTTTTTAAAGCTTACTTTGGTGTTAGCCACCTTAAATAATTCTGATTAGTTGATTATTTTTCTGTGTTGTGACACTAATCACTTAAGCTGAACAAACTCGAATTAATCAAATGTAAAAATGAGAAATCATAACGGCAGTACTTTGCTTGTTTGGATAGCTGGAATAATCGGAAACGGTCTTACTTCCTGTCGTCCAAAACTATCTCAGTCCTGGTCTGCCCATCTATACTAGTGCAACTAGCTCCCTCTACTATTCTAGAACAATCGTCACTTTCTCAATTGGCATTTTAGTGTATATATGCGTGTTTTAACTCTTTCTCCATGTGACGACAAAATTTTAATTGTGCTTGATCACAAATTTATATCAGTTTTGACTTCATGTGTTTGATTTTCATTATTTCTACTCATTTGTCTTAGAAATATATCTGGTTTTCAAATTCTAATTTATTCATATGAAATCGAGATTTAATATGGCAGATGGTGAAATTCCCGTGATAGTAGACATGAGTCCCCAGGTCTCAGGTTCAACGATATCTGCTGGGAAAACGCAGACTTTAGTTCATAAGGAATTCGTATCTTATGTTCAGCCGATTCAAATCATGATTTTTTTGTGAGGAAGGATATAACTACTGAGTAGAAATTTCTTTCTACAACACTTTCCACCTGTTATCACGTTTTTTCATATAATCTCCTGTATTAGGTATTGTTCTGTTTTCCAGGAGATCTGTGGTAATCCACCATATCCCAAGGCACTACCCTTGGATATTTTTTGCCCAGGTGGACTGCACTTGTTGATCACAATATCTTATACAAGACGTTTCCACTAGATGTTTTTGCTAGGATGGACCGCACTTGCCTTACTCTGATGTAACCCAAGGCACTACCCTTGGATATTTTTTGCCCAGGTGGACTGCACTTGTTGATCACAATATCTTATACAAGACGTTTCCACTAGATGTTTTTGCTAGGATGAACCGCACTTGCCTTACTCTGATATAACCCAAGGCACTACCCTTGGCACATACTTATAGTGGCTCATTGTTGCTTCGCACTAGACCTTAAGTGTTTATCCATGCCATGCTGTTTCAAATTATAGTTTTACAGCACTTCTCCACTGATTCGTTGCTGTACATCTCTTTCCTGAATGTATTGGTGCCCACCAATTCAGTTCCACCCTCTTTGTGTTACTGTGTTAATTACTGGGTGAAGTGGTGCTATACCCCACAGGTGTACTTTCATTTCATATTCTTGCACACCTGTTTTTTCAGTGTGTTTGTTACTGCTTGATTGGATATTGATGCACCTTCACTGGCCCCCCCTCCACCTTTGGAATGTGGGATTCTAGCTTTGGGTGAACAGAGGTAAGACTGATTCAGAAGTTAACATTTTCTTACACTGAAAATGTATTTCCAATTGCTATTTGCTTCTTCTCACCCACTTCCCACTGATGTTTCTGGTTTGTACCTACTAATTCTCAAAAGTGAGTATTGTTCTAGAATAGAAGAGGGAGCTAGCTGGGCTAGTATAGTTGCTGCAGTATGATTGGTGGGGGGTAGTCACATGATTGGCACAAAACTGCTGGGGTATAAAAGACTGGTGCACTGTTAGGGAAAACGTTTTAGCAATGCCTGGAGGGCAGACCAGGATTGAGATAGTTTTGGTGAGAGGCGATAAGTACCTATCGAAAAAATATTTTCAGTGAATTGTTTTTACACTTTTCAGATAACATTGACATTGAATTGTTGTACAAAGAAGTACCTTACAGTGAAAGTAGGTTATCACAAAATACTTTACAGTGAAAGTAGATTATCACAAAATACCTTACAGTGACAGTAGATTATCACGAAATACCTCACAGTGACAGTAGATTATCACGAAATACCTCACAGTGACAGTAGATTATCACGAAATACCTCACAGTGAAAGTAGATTATCACGAAATACCTTACAGTGACAGTAGATTATCACTAAATACCTTACAGTGACAGTACTTACAGTGACAGTAGATTATCACGAAATACCTCACAGTGAAAGTAGATTATCACGAAATATCTTACAGTGAAAGTAGATTATCATGACATACTTTATAGTGGATGGCAGTGTGTTATAAAACTTAGATAAAAATCAAAACACATTGATTTCAACATTTAGAAAAGTTGTCTGTTTCTTCTTTCAGGGACTAGAATCAATGTACCAAGAGTATTATTAGTATATTCGTATGACTGTAAAAAACATTATCAGGTGGTTGAAAGATTTGCTGATTACCTGCAACATAAGTGTAATGTTGAAGTTTTACTGGATGAAAGAAGCACCAAAAATGAAGACCCAAACAACTGGCTGTTAAAATCAGTCAAAGAAGTTGACTACATTATCATCATCATATCCGAAGGTGTGTTCCACAAAGCCGAGAGACAAAATATGCCAAAAATGCAAGAGATGCAGACCCAAATGAATCGTTTTACTCCAGCACTGAACCTGATTGTTAATGAAATACCTAAAAAAATGAGCACCAACAGGTTTGTTAAAGTGTACTTTAAATACTCGGGTTCCCACCATATTCCAAAAATACTGCAATTGAATGCTGCTGGTAAAACTTACAAGATGGTAGAAGAGCTAAATAAGTTGATATGCCACTTGCATAAAGAACAGCCGAAGATATCGATACCGTTACTTCGAGTGTACCCACGTATGCCAGGCCACGATTTGCTGTCTTCTTGGGTTGGACATTCTCTTAATGATGCTATTAATGAAATGAGTGATTACGTACAAAAAAATCCCGACTGGTTTACGAAGCTTCTTAACTGCTCTTCAGATGTTTCACCCAACACCGAGAACAATGACAGTTGTGAAAAAACTAGTGAAAAAACTAATGACACTAAAACAATCCAAACGTATCAGTTGTTTACCCCTGAAAAGCATAGTTCTAAAACAAAGTTTTCAAGATTGTTCAGAAAGCCTTTGGTGAGCTCAGAATTGGTTTGAAACTTATTAAACAAAACTTCAAATATTTTTTCTAAATCCTGTGAAAAGGCTTGGAAATGATGTGACTTGCGTGTTAACTTGCTTTGAAAACTGTTGGCACAGCTGAGAAATAATAACCTCTTGAAATAAATTAAAAGAGTTTAACAGAGACGTTCTTATACTTGGTGTATATCTTTTTCCTTCAAAAACACAAAAATGTGAAAACCCAAAATGAGTCATACTTTTACTTGTATGTTACATACATTTGTTTTTTTTTTAACGCATTGATACTTATATTGGTATAATTCTGAACTTAAATGCATGGGAAGATATTATTGAAGTTGTAAATATTACAGAAACAAATACGAGACCTTTTGTATGTTTTGAAGCGTTGATGCTCTTAAATATATGGATGTAATAAATTGAAGAACATATTTTGTAGGAGAAATTACCTACGTTTTTGAATCATTCCCAGTTTGCTCCTGAAGAAGAAAGGTCGACCTTTTGAGAGCACTTGGGTTATAGGGTTTTTATCATTTTGTATCAAGTCTTATTGAACTTGCTTGTTTTTCTAACATCATGAATATGTTTTTGAATCATTCCCAGTTTACCCCTGAAGAAGAAAGGTCCACCTTTTGAAAGCACTCGGGTTATAGGGTTTTTATCATTTTGTATCAAGACTTATTGAACTTGCTTGTTTTTCTAACATCATGTTTTTGAATAATGAATCAGATTTCTTTTTGAAATCACAACTGCCAAAAAAATACAAATTCTAATAACTATTTCATAAACAATTTACAATTTAATGTTACAGTTATTAAACACCAATATCAGTCTCCATGTTTTTTGTCGTGAATATTAGCCTGGTGGTTAGCATGCCAGAGTATGAATCTGAGGGTTCGTGGTTCATGTCTTGTTGCAATGCAGTCACGCTTTATGGCCATGGGAGTGTTATAAGAGTGACAGTTAAATCACACTGTTTGATTAGAATACCCCAAGAGTTTGTGGTGGATGCTGTTGACTGACTACCTTCTAGCAAAAATAGCTCTTGCGTAGCTTTGAGGAAATAAACAGCTAAGTTTAAGAGTGTAACGTTAAATATATCATGCTGCATGTATCCGGTATTTTGGATAAGCACAACTGACTATTTCTAGTACAGAACAAAAAAACCTCCCGGGTAAGGGGATTAAATAAAATTAATCTAGATAAAGACATCTGCAATTTGGTGTGATTTTATCACAGATTTGGATTAGAAGATTATTTTGTTTGAAGTAAAATGCATGATCTTTAGATGTTTTGTAAACACTCTGTTAAGTTTCCATGTCCAGTTTGCTTGTTAACTTTTACAAATATATGTTTAAAATATATGAAAGTAATTCTTAATTTAAGTTTTTATGCTCAAGAAGATGTATAGGTTTTTCGTTTTCCTGGAACTTATAACAACTGTAATTATTCTAGCATGTATGAAGTAAAACCTAAGGACCTATGTGTTTGTAGTTTTCATTTCAGGGTTAGATTCCCATTTTTTTATAAGGTGGATAAGAGTTGTCTTTCGTTAGGGGAAACAAAAAAGTGGTTATTGATGTATAAGAATGCATCTAGTTTTACAGCCCGATATGAATCTTTCCCGTTATTTGTTTCCAAAGAATTGTTTTGATTTCTCTGGTCTGTTCAACTTTTAAGAGTAAATAATCCAATTATAATTAATCTAACATAAATAAACAAATGATTTTAGTTTGATAAAATCTGAAAAAAAAAAGAAAGATTTAAAATCACTGTGGGGTGGGGGAAATACATCCTCATCATTTTGGCCAAGTGACCTTCATTAGATTTCTTTTTAATGGTGGTAGTATTTCTTTTGGTTCAGTAAAGTGTGCATACTTTATTTAGAAACATTGCTTCTTTGTGATCCGTAAAATGTAAAATTTCCAATATAATATTAGGCCCACTTGATTTGTAATTTTTAGAGAAAGTTCTTTATTTTTACTGTTCAAACTTTGCTGGGTTACTAAGCGGTGTAAATAAGTATACTGGTGGAGTTGGAACAATCTGTCTGTTATAACAGTTATTTCAGAAAATTTGCTGTCCATTTTTCATATATAAACAAAAGTTTACTGCAACCTAACGATACTGGTTGATTTATAAAAACTACTGTCCACTTTTTGTTCTGTAGTTTAAAACTCATAAAGAAGGATTAAGTGTTATACCAGTATTTCCTACTACGTGACAAATGAAACTTTTTAACAAATCTTCTTGCATAACTTAATTTCCTGTTCTCAGATACGGTGTCCTTTTTGAAGGTCTGAAGAAGCGAGTGATTTCCTGTAAAAGTATTCTTACCAACCAGGAACAAATTTAGCTGTTATAGTGCTTGCACTGATGTTACTAACAACCCTGTATCTTATCACAAAGTGTAATCCCATTAATGTAACTTGCTGTTATTCTTCCAAACAATATCTTTTATAGACCAATCCCTTTTAATGTTGGTGTTAGATGACAGCAACTTTTATAGACCAATCCCTTTTAATGTTGGTGTTAGATGACAACAACTTTTATAGACCAATCCCTTTTAATGTTGGTGTTAGATAACAGCAACTTCTATAGACCAATCCCTTTTAATGTTGGTGTTAGATGACAGCAACTTTTATAGACCAATTCCTTTTAATGTTGGTGTTAGATGACAGCAACTTCTATAGACTAAACCTATTTAATGTTGGTGTTAGATGACAGCAACTTCTATAGACT